TTCCTCCATATCTGCTTACTGGGATATCAATAGGTGGCTAATAGAAAGAAGTGAGTACAGAAAGCTGAAGAGTATGTTGTTATAATTATCTGACTCATTGGATAATCTGTGGATATGTGACCAAATCTCCATGACCTACCTGTCCTACACAGAGGCCTCTGTATGTTCCTGTTTCCCTCTCTTCCTAATTGGCTTCAGCCATACAACAGTCAGTTCAACTAGAGAGGCACTGTGGCAAGAAAAACAATAACCACCACAGCTGTAGCCAAGGAGCAACGAGAAAAAAGAGACTATGGGATACAGATGGAATGAATGGTCTCTAATTAAAGGGTTTAAATGCAGCATTCACTTCTGAGGGCATGGGCCAACTGACCAAGATGGCAGCTGTATAAAGCCAAAGAAAACCTAGAATAGAAATAAAACTAAACATAGAAAGGAAAACTGAGTTTGTACTTTTGTCGATGGTCAAGCTGTGTGTGCAGCTGTTTTTGTTGCTAAGATGGAATAGGATGGAAGGGATTCAGAAGGGGCTCTCAGGCACCCACAACCAGAAGAGTGTAAGTGAGGAAAGCCCCAAAGAGAATGCTCCACCTGTTAAGTCTATTAAAGTTGGCTGAAATCAAAAAGGAGCCAGGGGAAAGACTGTTCTGGGCACTAGTATCCCGTGAGTGGCTGCAAGATATTCCTTTCTACCGTGACAGGGAGATCTCAGCTTTGAGCTTGGGAAAGAAAATCATAGACTCACAGTGCTTGGAAGCTGTTCCCAGCTGTATCGTAATGGAAAGAACAGAAGGCTGGGAAAGATGGATTTCAGTGTGGCTCTGCCTCATTCTAGCTATATGACAGCTAGTTATTAGATGTCTTTGAGCTTCAGTCTTCTTGGTAAAAACAAAATCCACTTGAATGGGGAATGCAACCTTGTTAAAACACAGAATCCTAGAGGATTTAGTGGAGAAAATTAGTGAAAGGAGAATCTGAAGGTTGGGGGGACTGTCATAATGGGGTATGAATAATCTGGAATGGCAAGGGCTCTTCAACATGCCGCCACCTGTCCTGATCACTGACCAAGCACTGTAAAAGAAGGTGCTGGCCTGGGAGGTCAGGAGGAAGGTGCCGAAGTTCTATTTACCAGCAGGAAACAACCCAGAAATCACACAGGATCCTCCTAAGCTACCTAATGTGGCTAACACAGGTGGAAAAATTCCTTAGAATGCCAACATAATGCTACCTTTGTGGACAGTCAAGTAGCAAAAATGAAATTTCAGGCAATCATCTTCTTTAAAGGGCTCTAATAAAAGGAAAAAAAAAATTCAGGCAAGGCACGGTGGCTCACACCTATAATCCCAGCACTTTGGGAGGCTGAGACAGGCAGATCACTTGAGGTCAGGAGTTTGAGACTAGCCTGGCCAACATAGCGAAACCCTGTCTCTACTAAAAATACAAAAATGAGCAGGGTATGGTGGCTTGCGCCTATAATCCCTGCTACTCGGGAGGCTGAGGCAGGAGAATCACTTGAACCCAGGAGGCAGAGGTTGCAGTGAGCCAAGATCGCACGACTGCACTCCAGCCTGGGCAACAGAGCAAGACTCTGTGTCAAAAAAAAAAAAAAAAAAAAAAATTCAAATAAAGAATCAAATCGGGAAGACTAGGTTCCTAGAAAGGCCAAACTAAAAACCTTTACAGGAACAAACCATAAGATGAATGAATAGGGCCTGGGGTTAAAAGGATGTCTTGGGGTGTGGAAGAGAACAGGTGCTTTGGGAAAGGAAGCTCATGCACTCAGTCCCATCTGAGAACACCCCATTACGTGATTAAACTGGAATGAGTATGTTTGAAAGCATATTTCAAACTGGGACTAGTTTGCTGGGATTACAGGCATGAACCACCATGCCCAGCCCCAAATATTCTTTAAGAGTTTCTCTTTCCCTATAGAATCAAGTCCAGACTCCTGAGTATAACATACAAGTCTCTAATCTGGCCCAACTTCCATTTTCTTTTCCTTTCTTTTCTACTCAACACAGAGTTCTAGCCACAGCAGAATACCTGCTCTTCCTGGAACATATCCTACATGTGGCTCCCTCAGTCTCGGATGTGCATATTTTTAACTGAGGGTCTATCACATGTCAGGCACTGTTTGGAGTGCTGAGATTAAAACCAGGACAAAGTCCCTGTTCTCATGGAGCCTACATCTCCCACTCATCTCCAAGGACCAGCTCAAATCTACACCTTCCTCAAAGCTCTTCCCAGTGATATGTGACCATTAACTTCTTCCTTTTTTATACCTCTCCTAGACTAGAGCATTTAGCAGTTTGTCCTGTGCAACATTGATATTCCAGTGTGTCTTCTGGCCTGGCCTGTACACTTCTTAGAGGCAGAAACTAGGTAGTCATTCATCTATAAGGGCTAGCACAGTGCCTCACACATGAAAGAGAATGTTTCTTGAATTACACAGTCTCAATCTGCTTCAATTTATTTTTATTTTTGAGACAGGGTCTTGCTCTGTTACCCAGGCTGGAGTGAGTGCAGCAGCGTGATCTCAGCTCACTGTAGTCTGCCTTTCCAGGCTCCAGAGATCATTCCAGCTCAGCATCCTGAGTAGCTGAGACTACAGGTGAAAGCCACCATACCTCACTAATTTTTTTCTATTTTTCGTAAGACAGGGTTTCTCCTTGTTGCCCAGGCTGGTCTTGAACTCCTAGACTCGAGTGATCCTCCTGCCTCAGCCTCCCAAAGTGTTGGGATTATAGGCATGAGGCATCATGCCTGGCCTCTGCTTCCATTTATGATTTTATTTTATTTTTGTTTTTTGACCCGGACTGTTGCTCTGACTTTGAGGCTGGAGTGCAATGGCAGCAATCTCGGGCTCACTGCAGCCTCTGCCCCCGGGGTTCAAGTGATTCTCCTGACTCTGCCTCCAGAGTAGCTGGGATTACAGGTGCACGCCGCCATACCCGGCTAATTTTTGTATTTTTAGTAGAGATGGGGTTTTGCCATGTTGGCCAGACTGGTCTTGAACTCCTGACCTCAGATGATCTGCCCCCTTGGCCTTCCAAAGTGCTGGGATTACAAGTGTAAGCCACCGTTCCCAACCTATGATTTCAAAATACATATCAATAAAAAAAAATGTGGAGTCTTGTCTATTTTAAATAAGTGTAAATACTTTTGGGGGGAGTATAAATTAAAAACGGTAGTGGAGAGACTTGAGGTCTCCTTTCTAGTCTCCTAAGAGAGACCTGGAGACCAACAATAAATGAACCACTTACCATGGCGTAAGGTAAGAGAACACACCTAGAAAAGCCACCTAGACAGCCTCTACCTGGCTTCGTCCATTGATAAAAGATTGGTGTAGGAGAGATTTTACCTTTTAAAAGCTAAGATTGAAAAATGACCAATTTAAAATCTGACATGCATGAAAGAAAAGACTGCCCTTTAGATTAAAACGAGTTACGCAATTCATGATCGTGTCCTGGTTTGGGCAACTCAGATGTAAACAATGTATTTGGAACAATCAGGAATTTTGAATATAGACTAGGTAGTATTAGATGATATTCAGGGATTATTATTATTATTATTTCGAGGCAGAGTTTCGCTCTTTGCCCAGGCTGGAGTGCAATGACACGATCTCGGCTCACCGCAACCTCTGCCTCCCAGGTTCAAGCGATTCTCCTGCCTTAGCCTACCGAGTAGCTGGGGTTATAGGCATGCGCCAACACACCCAGCTAATTTTGTATTTTTAGTAGAGATGGGGTTTCTCCATTTTGGTCAGGCTGGTCTCGAACTCCTGACCCCAGGTGATCTGCCCCCTTTATTTTTTTTGAGACAGAGTCTCCCTCTGTTGGCCAGGCTGGAGTGCAATGGTGTGATAGCTCACTGTAACCTCCACCTCCCGGGTTCAAGCGATTCTCCTGCCTCAGCCTTCTAAGTAGCTGGGATTAGAGGTGTGCACCACCACATCTGGCTAATTTTTGTATTTTTAGTAGAGACAGGGTTTCACCATGTTGGCCAGGCTGATCTTGAACTCCTGACCTCAGGTGATCTGCCCACCTTGGCCTCCCAAAGTGCTGGGATTACAGGCGTGAGCCACCACGCCCGGTTGGATTATTAATTTTTGTTGGGTGTAATATGTAGGAGAAAAGATATATATATATATATATAAAATGAGACGGAGTTTCGCTCTGTCACCCAGGCTGGAGTACACTGAATGATCTCGGCTCGCTGTAGCTTCTACCTCCTGGGTTCAAATGATTCTCCTGCCTCAGCCTCTCCAGTAGCTGGGACTCCAGGCACCTGTCACCACGCCCGGCTAATTTTTGTATTTTTAGTAAAGATGGGGTTTCACCATGTTAGCTAGGCTGGTCTTGAACTGCTGACCTCAAGTGATCCACCCGCCTTGGCCTCCCAAAGTGCTAGATTACAGACGTGAACTACCGCACCTAGCCTAGGTTCTATTTTTTAGAGATTAAACTGTGAGTAAAATATTATGTCTGTTATTTTCTTTAAAATACTTCAGTACAAAAGTATAAAATAAAACAATCTCAGTGACTAAAAACATGGCATATCAGAGAATAATCACTTTCTAGCCTTTGCTAGGTCATGGTTACTCTATCAGTGGGCAGTTCAGGGTCAACCTTCTCTACCACAAAAACTGATGATCCCCCAAAAGCAGTGATTCTTGGGGAAGCCCAACTGAGGGAGTCATGCATTCAATGGCACATGAGAGGGGTCTCTTCTGAAGTGTCTTCCTCCCCATTACACTGTTTTATTCTGTTATTATCAAAGCAAGTAGAAAATTATCAGCTTACCATTCACTATAACATACCAGGAAATTTCCTGGTGGCATAATGAAAATCATCTTGCTTTTTTGGTTTAGGAAAGATTATACTTCCTTGACTGGAATCACAAATTTTAGGCTTCGCAGCCAATCTGAAAATCAAAAGTTGAATGTTCCACTGACATTGTCTCCGGCCCACAAGGCAAGGGGGAAAACAGTTCTCCAACAATGAGAATCTTAGCAAATATTTTATTAATATACGCTGTCATACTCCTGGGATAGAAGAGTCCTCAGAACACCACCCCACACTGAAGATGCTGAAATGGGTGGTCAGGTCCTTAGTCCTCCTTCTGGTCTGTTAACCCCACACTCCTTCAACAGAATCAGGCTTGCTGCCCTTACCCTGTCCACATCCCTGAAAGGAAACGGGTCTCCCTCAGCCAGATGCAGACAGTTGACACTCCCTGCCTTTGCTATGGCAGGGGGCTCCTTATGATTAACCCAGAACAGGAAAAACTTAGCGTCAGCTGACCAAAAGGAACTCAGCCTTAATTTTTCCAAAAGTCACTCGCGTTCCAGCTCTCTTCAGGAAGGGGCTAGAATATCTTCAGGATGAGCATAGAGATTCCCACTGCCGAAATATTCGGAATACTTTCCTTGATTTCTCAGAGAGACTCTGTAGGCAGAAAAGCTTATTATTAATGATTAGGTTCTTTGATAGAGACAAAGGATAAATCATTTGTCCCCCAATGATCTGGATATGTCTAGGACTGAGTAAAAATTCACTTTGTAGTATGCTATATATAAGGTATACCTAAAGTCAGACTAAAGATCGAGGGGCTGATGTTCTACTGTCAGACTCCTGTTAACACACTCTGAGCCTCTAAGACACGGTACGTATCCTCCCGTCAGGCATCTGTGTCTGTCCTCATCTTTGTACTTGTGGATGACACTTCTGACTTGCCGTTACTGCATGACATGTTTTGCACCGGTTTTTCATTCATGATGCTGAATTGGCCCTAGTTCATTATTTCTTGTGAATAAGCATTTATACTTATGTGATGCCTAGCTGAGGTTAACAGTATAAACCAAGGCCAAGTAATAAAAACAGAGTTGAATGATCCCTGTGAATTTAAGCTCTGGCCTTGGTCTTCACAGCTTTATGTTTTAGCCAGCAGTGCTAGTAATAGGAAGAATCTCACTGCCATCTGATTATGCCAATGAAGTACTCTGAGATTCTGAGAAATGGTGGTAAAGGGAGACAAAGTAATTCCTTAGGAGACAAAAGCTCTTGGTGAATCAGAACACTTGGTTCTGTCTGCCTTTGAGCGTCACAATAAAGAGCAAATGTTCCACGCAGAAAGGGCTTCAGTGAGAGTGCAAAGAATGTCTAGCAAAATGATCCACAGTTACCTCCAGTTTCTCATATGACATGTTCAATGTCGCCCAGGCTGGAGTGCTGTGGTGCAATCTCGGCTCACTGCAACCTCCGACTCCCTGGTTCAAGCGATTCTCCTGCCTCAGCCTCCTGAGTAGCTGGGATTACAGGCATGTGCCACCATGCCCTGCTAATTTTTGTATTTTTAGTAGAGATGGAATTTCACCATGTTGGCCAGAATGGTCTCGATCTCCTGACCTCGTGATTTGCCTGCTTCGGCCTCCCAAAGTGCTGGGATTACAGGCGTGAGCCACCACGCCCGGCCCACTTTCACTTTCAGTTTTTTTTTTTTTTTTTTGAGACGGAGTCTTGCTCTGTGCCCCAGGCTGGAGTGCAGTGGCGCGATCTCGGCTCACTGCAAGCTCCGCCCCCCCGGGTTCACGCCATTCTCCTGCCTCAGCCTCCCGAGTAGCTGGGACTACAGGCCCGCCACCTCACCCGGCTAATTTTCTTGTATTTTTAGTAGAGACGGGGTTTCACCGTGTTAGCCAGGATGGTCTCGATCTTCTGACCTCGTGATCCGCCCGTCTCGGCCTCCCAAAGTGCTGGGATTACAGGCTTGAGCCACCGCGCCCGGCCCACTTTCAGTTTTTAAAAAATCTATCCTCTTTGAGGATGTTTCAATAAGTTCCAGGAGGAAAAAGTTTGAACTCTTACTAATGACTGAGGGAAATTTAGTTAATAGAATGACAAAGTTGAAAGAAACATGAGTTGAAAAAATAGTATACACTTTTTTCTTTTTTTTGAAAGGGAGTCTCACTCTGTTGCCCAGGCTGGAGTGTAGTAGCGCAATCTCGGCTCACTGCAGCCTCCACCTCCCAATTCTCCTGCCTCAGCCTCTGGAGTAGCTGGGACTACAGGTGCATGCCAACAGGCCTGCCTAATTTTTGTATTTTCAGTAGAGACGGGGTTTTGCCATGTTGGCCAGGCTGGTCTCGAACTCCTGACCTCAGGTGACCCCCTGCCTCAGAGTCCCAAAGTGCTGGGATCACAGGCATGAGCCACTGCACCTGGCCTCGGTATATACTTTTTTTTCAAACATCAGGATCCTTTACCATACAGTCTCATTAAGCTTTCTAGCATCCAGTCGCAGCAGCTGTCAGAAGGTTAAAAGACACTACCCAAAAAAAAGAAAAAAAAAGATCTTAAAAGTCCTGGAATCCAGGGCCAATTATGAGGCCAACTTTTCCCACTACAAAACAAAAACAAAACCCCATGGGCTTTCTTTTTCATATGGCAGTGAGAGAGAGGAGTCTTATTGAAAACTGCCAATGTACTAGTTCCTGAAGATCTAGGTAGAGAAATGCAGATTTTTTTTTTTCTGTGAAAACTTGGAAAACCTTCACCTGCATATTTACTGAGGGTACTAATATACATTTATTTTTATTATTATTTTTTTTGAGACAGAGTCTCTCTCTGAAGCCCAGGCTGGAGTGCAATGGCACGATCTCGGCTCACTGCAACCTCCGCCTCCTGGGTTCAAGTGATTCTCCAGCTTCAGCCTCCCAAGTAGCTGGGATTACAGGTGCCTGCCACCACATCCGGCTCATTTTTTTTTTTATATTTTTAGTAGAGACGGGGTTTCACCATGTTGGCCAGGATGGTCTCAAACTCTTGACCTCAGGTGATCCACTCACCTTGGCCTCCCAAAGTGCTGGGACTACAGGTATGAGCCACCACGCCGCCATGCATTGTTGGACTTTTAGCATTACAATAGTTCCCTCCAGTGGAATCCTGTAACCCTAGAAAACCATGAATCTAGGAGTGCTGCTCGTAAATATCTGCTGACAAGTATTATTTTACTTTGTCCTTGAAAGTTATACAGGTCAGAAATTGTTACAAGCTACAAGGAAAATCTGGGAGTGAGCCAGCCAAGGAGAGAACCCAGTTTTCATGATTCTGTATTGCCCAGCCTATCACTTCCAATCTTTAAACAGAGCAAACACTTGACTTTTCTTCTCAGTTGTCACCCACATTTGTAACCCACAGCAGTCATGGCTGCAATGGCTAGCAGAGTCACAGTCTGGGCTGTAGAACAGAGTAATGTGCCCGGCGTGTGGAATGAAACCATCATTTTGGTGTCAGAGCCCAGTGCTCCAAACAGCTAAGTTAACTGGCCAGCCTCCAAGTGCAAGTGATAGCAACTGAAAGAAAAAGCAGCTGTCTGCAACATGAGGCCGGAGCAGCTGCCTATTCATCTATTTCTGTTTCTGTGCTCCTTTTCTACTTGGAGTCATTTTATTTAGGAGAACAAAAGAATTTATCAGAACTTGATGGAATGCCATATGCTAAACTGCAGAAAGACGAACTGGTTCTATGCCTATTCCCTAGGACTAAAGCAGAATGAGTCTAACTTGACGTGTAAGCTGGGCATGGTGGCTCATGCCTGTAATCCCAGCACTTTGGGAGGCCGAGGCCGGTGGATAACCTGAGGCCAGGAGTTTGAGACCAGCCTGGCCAACATGGTGAAACCCCATCTATTAAAAAATACAAAATTAGCCAGGCATGGTGGCAGGCACCTGTAATCCCAGCTACTTGGGAAGCTAAGGCAGGAGAATTGCTTGAACCCAGGAGACGGAGGTTGTAGTGAGCTGAGATCGCACCATTGGACTCTAGCCTGGGCAACAAGAACGAAACTCCATCTCAGAAAACAAACAAACAAACCAACCCAAATAACTTGATGTATGGGAGCTGAAGGCAGGCAGGGTGCTAATTACAGGACCAGCCTCTGCTCCTCCTCCTATACACAGCAAGTGCTGCCCACACACAGGCAATGGCTTATCTCACCATGGAGTCCGTTTCAGCTGGCTGGCTAGACTGTTTGTGGGCCAAGAGGATGGTCAGCACTGCTTTCCAGCCTGGCTCTGCTGGGGCGATGGCATCTGGTTCAGTTCCACCATTCTCCCTGCTTTCTTTGCCAAGTGTGATATTCACCCAAGGGCACCAGTCTCTATGCTGAGAGGTGGGATCAAAGAAGCTTCGGGAAGATGTGTCCTGAGGAAGGAGAAAAAGAAATAGCATTCATGGGGCCGGGCGCGGTGGCTCAAGCCTGTAATCCCAGCACTTTGGGAGGCCGAGACGGGCGGATCACGAGGTCAGGAGATCGAGACCATCCTGGCTAACACAGTGAAACCCTGTCTCTACTAAAAAATACAAAAAAAATTGCCGGGCGCGGTGGCGGGCGCCTGTAGTCCCAGCTACTCAGGAGGCTGAGGCAGGAGAATGGCGTGAACCCGGGAGGCGGAGCTTGCAGTGAGCTGAGATCCGGCCACTGCACTCCAGCCTGGGCGGCAGAGCGAGACTCCGTCAAAAAAAAAAAAAAAAAAAAAAAAAAGAAATAGCATTCATGGGTAGACGCTAGGTAAGTTCAGGGAGACACTGCTACTAGTCATCAAGTCCAGAATCTCACAACTACCTATACTTTGAGTGTTTATGCTCTCCTTTAAACTTTGCCTATACATTTTCCTCGCATTTTCTTTATTTTTTTTCACTCCTTTTGTGTTAAACAAGCTACACTTTATCACAAGGGATAAGGGATACCCAACCCCCAGGCCATGGATAGGTACCAGGTCGCACAGCAGGAGGTGAGCAGCAGGCAGGCAAGCAAAGCTTCATCTGAATTTACAGCCGCTCCCCATTGTTTGCATTACCACCTGGGCTCTGCTTCCTGTCAGATCAGCAGTGGCATTAGATTCTCACAGGAACAGGAACCCTACTGTGAACTGCACATGTGAGGGATCTAGACTTCGGGCTCCTTATGAGAGTCTGACACCTGATGTCTGTCACTGTTTCCCATCACCCCCAGATGAGATCATCTAGTTGCAGGAAAACAAGCTCAGGGTTCCCAGTGATTCTATATTATGGTGAGTTGTATAATTATTTCATTATACATTACAATATAACAATAATAGAAATAAAGTACACAATACATGTAATATGCTTACATCATCCCGAAACCATCCTCCCAACCCTGGTCCGTGGAAAAATGGTCTTCCACGAAAACGGTCCCTGGTGCCAAAAAGGTTGGGGACCACTGCCATGTCAGGTTTGTCCCTGTATCACACTGCTGTTCCATTTGCCTGAAATATCTATTGTTTCTCCAGAATCCACCCCAAAGGAGCAAAAAGGAGCAAAAAACATGACTGACATTTTTCCCCTTTGGTCACCCAACTTTAAACTTATTCACAGGGTCTACTTTTTGCACTGGACCATGGAAGGGCTCATGCCTGTTTCTCCGTGCTGCCCAGGGAGAGCCCAACATGCTGTTTCTGCTCAGCCACTGCTACATGCGCGGTGGACTCACCGAACTGCTGGAGGAGCAGAGGCGAGCTCGTTTGGCTTTCCGCAGAGGGCTAGATGGTACCTCCATGCCAGGGGTGTCTCCTGTTCCCATGCTTCGGGTCACTGGGCGAGTTCTGGTGGTGGGGCTAGCAGCCTCTGGCTCAGGACGGTCAACAGGACTGGAAGAGTCCCAGCTCCGAGTTCGAGAGACAATGGGACCAGGGCTCTTTTCAGCCTGAAGGAAAGGGGAGATAATGGAAGTACACGAATGATATTAATGATACTTCTTTCTTTAATCTTCTTCCTTTTGAGACAGAATCTCGCTTTGTTTCCAAGGCTGGAGTGCAGTGAGGCGATCTTGGCTCACTACAACCTCTGCCTCCTGAGTTCAAGTGATTCTCCTGCCTCAGCCTCCCAAGTAGCTGGGATTACAAGTGCCCACCACCACCCGTGGCTAATTTTTGTATTTTTGGTAGAGACGGGGTTTCACCATGTTGGCCAGGCTGGTCTCGAACTCCTGACCTCAAGTGATCCACCTGCCTCAGTCTCCCAAAGTGCTGGGATTACAGGCGTGAGCCACCAGGTCTGGCTGAATTTAGCTTCTCCATTAGTGAACAGAAACACTACGTGGTATTGTGACCAATGTAGTGGGAAGTGAAGCCTATCCACCTAAATTATTTTCCAACTTTCTTTTTTTTTCACTTTTTTTTTTTTGAGACGGAGACTTGCTCTGTCGCCTGGGCTGGAGGGCAGTGGCCGGATCTCAGCTCACTGCAAGCTCCGCCTCCCGGGTTTACACTGCCTCAGCCTCCAGAGTAGCTGGGACTACAGGCGCCCGCCTAGTTTTTTGTATTTTTTTAGTAGAGACGGGGTTTCACCGTGTTAGCCAGGATGGTCTCAATCTCCTGACCTCGTGATCCGCCCGTCTCGGCCTCCCAAAGTGCTGGGATTACACGCTTGAGCCACCGCGCCCGGCCTACCAATAACACTTTTGCCAAGAATGTTGTTTAAAAGTCCACCCCAAACAAGCTAAGTGCATACCTGCTCTGAGCCTGGGGAGAAAGTGGCATCCTGGCTCCGCGTCATCATCCTCCGAGGAGATTCAGGCACCAGAGGTAAGCGCTCTGGTCGCCCCTCAAGGCCTGGAATCGGGGAGCTGGTCAGGCCAAAGGATGCATCCAGGTCAGTCATGGATGATTCAATCTGCTGGAAGCCCCAGAGCCCCACCTTCCTCATACACTGCGAACATGTTATCAGGGAAAGCTGCATGGGTTCCAAAGAAGAACTAGACAGGAATGAAAAAAAAGAGAATTTTCTCAAAGTGTAACATTTCCAAATGACTAAGTGTAATGTCTCGCAAGTATGCTTTATCTCATCCAATTTCTGGAACAGTCCAGTGGACAGGGAACCATGGCCTGTCAGAGCCTCTGTGCTCCAATCTCAGGACCCCAGCTTCATACTTCAACATCTCTCACGTATTTTCCATAGAAAGACCTAGGGTTCTTAGTCTGCTCTTTATGGTAAGACTGTTTTGCAGGCATGTTTTAGAAGTTTCTCGGCCAGGTGCGGTGGCTCATGCCTGCAATCCCAGCACTTTGGGAGGCCAAGATGGGTGGATCACCTGAGATCCTGAGGTCGGGAGTTTGAGACCAGCCTGACCACCAACAACAACGAAAAGGTTTCTCCCGTCCTTCTTTTTTTTTTTTTTGAGATAGAGTTTACTCGTTGCCCAGGCTGGAGTGCAATGGTACGATCTCGGCTCACTGCAACCTCTGCCTCCCGGGTTCAAGTGATTCTCCTGCCCCAGCCTCCTGAGTAGCTGGGATTACAGGCACCTGCCACCACGCCCGGCTAATTTTTGTATTTTTAGTAGAGATGCGGTTTCACCATGTTGGCCAGGTGAGCCACTGTACCCGCCTCTCTTGTCCCTCTTAAAGTCTTTTCCCTTTAGACGAAAAACATTCCTTAATCTACCAAAGAGAGCATATTTAAAATAAATCAAGATTTATTTATTGTCAGAACCAAACTGACTTTAAATATGCTCTCTTTGGTAGATTAAGGATAGTGGGAGTCTATGCCAAATTGAGCAGCTGGAATGGAAATAGCAACATGGGGGCCTAGAAGACTCCAGCTGGTGTTTCCTATGGTAGTTTTCATCAATTAAGTGGATTTTTCTTCCTTTCTAAAAATAGAAAAGAACTTCCTTTCTATTTTTCCTTCTTAAAAATAGAAAAGAGCTTATTTTCTTTCTATTTTTAGAAAGGAGGTTCACTGTTTATAGAACACAAATTCCCAGTTGAGAAGCAACCGTACAATAAACAAAGTTCAGTTGTGAACACCAAGAATTCCTGAATTCCAATTTCTGGTTTTGTTACTAATTCTTATTATCCATTCTCCTCGCTGCCATCCCCCACCCAGTTTCTCTTTGTCTCTTTTTCTCACGGGAAACACCATGTGATTCCTAAATGCGATAAGTGACTGACATATACAACTGTAATGCTGTTGTCATGGCTCATGTCTCCGGGCAAAATTCGCTGACTCACCTACATGCCCAGCCACACACAGAGAGAATACAGGCAGTGACGTGGACTTGGATGTCTGAGCCTAATTTGATTGTAGTTTTTCTCTCATCAGTTCGGTGATCAAGTTCATCTTCAAGCAGGTGCAGGAGAAGACTGAGCTTGTCTTCTGTCAAGCACTACAAGGGAGCCAAGTAAAAAACTTCGTTTCAACTACCGTAAAAAGAAAAATTACACATTATAACATACCTAGATAGTACAAGTGGAAAATCAGGAAGGAAATTACAAACATGAAGACAGTTCTCTTCACAGAGAACAAATACTTCCAGGACAGGAATATAGTATCACACAGAAGCTTTCTGAATTGCCCTGAATCTGCTGACTGAGAAAGACGGAATCTCCCTGGAACTGCCAAAACTCTTGTTAGTACTAAATTGTTTTCAATTTATCAGCTGCAGATTTTCCCTGAAACCTGCAAACTTCAAACCCAAATAGTGAAAACAAATTGCTGCTTATGTCTTAGCCTGATGCTAAATTTACTTAAACATTAAAGAAAAAAAAATTTTAGAGATAGGGTCTCACTATGTTGGCCATGCTGGTCTTGAACTCCTGAGCTCAAGCAATCTTCCCACCTCAGCCTACTGAGTAGCTGGGACTACAGGCGTGCATCACCATGCCCCAGGCTCTAAATTTACTTTTTGATGGAACGACAAAGCTTGTTAGACTTTATTTTTGTTCTAAGAAAAATAAGAAACTATGACCAGGTGAAAAAAAATTGCCTTGGCTTGGGACAGGGTTATATTCATAATAAGCATCAGAGGTTAACAGTTTCAGTCGCTGGCCATATCACCCTGAATGTGCCCAATCTCGCCTGATCTCAGCAGCTAAGCAGGGTCAGTCCTGGTTAGTACTTGGAGGGGAGTTTGGGAAGTTAACAGTTTGATGCTAAAACCCGTACCACTCTCTTAATTTGAAGAGGCTACTATTTCCTACAGTAAAGCTTGTCTTCATGGAGTACCCATAGGGTGATTAAATGGAACAGTAAATATTCAGTTTCAAAGTACAGATTGACTAGAGCATTTACTTTATTTCATTTTTGAGACGGAGTTTTGCTCTTGTTACCCAGGCTGGAGTGCAATAGTGTGATCTCGGCTCACTGCAACCTCTGTCTCCCAGGTTCAAGCAATTCTCCTGCCTTAGCCTCCTGAGCAGCTGGGACTACAGGCACAAACCACCATGCCCAGCTAATTTTTTGTATTTTTAGTAGAGACTGGGTTTCACCATGTTGGCCAGGCTGGGCTCGAACTCCTGACCTCAGATGATCCGCCTGCCTCAGCCTCCCAAAGTGCTGGGATTACAGGCATGAGCCACCGTGCCCAGGCTGACTACAGCATTTAAATGTTTCTACTCACAAGGAGAAAGGAGTTTGTACTTTCTTTGAAAAATGATATGCAATAAACCATATGCAGTCACATTTCAGTATTTTCTGTTAAATAGTTTAAGTAGGCTGGGTGAGCTGGCTCATGCCTGTAATCCCAGCACTTTGGGAGGCTGAGGTGGGTGGATCATCTGAGGTGAGGAGTTCAAGAACAGCCTGACCAACATGGTGAAACCCCATCTCTACTAAAAATACAAAAATTAGCCGGGTGTGGTGGCAGACACCTGTAATCCCAGCTACTCAGGAGGCTAAGACAGGAGAATCGCTTGGACCTGGGAGGCGGAGGGTGCAGTGAGCAAAGATTACACCATTGCACTCCAGCCTGGATGACAGAAAGAGACTCGGTCTCAAAATAATAATAATAATTTAAGTAATAAATCAAGATAAAATAGAATTTATGGGCAGCATATATTCAGAGCAAACTTGAATCTATGCTTCCAGGTTATAGCCCTAAAACTTGGTCCAAATAAACTCTCTGCTTATATACGTATATGTTAAATTGAATCCATGCCATTTAAAAAACCATACCTAAACATTCAAATGGAACTCTCAACAGTCACCTTCCTGGTGGAGACTGAAACGGTGAGCTGAGAGATAGACAAGCAGTTCTCTTCACAGCAATTGCATCTTCTTGTCATTAAAAGAAATGCTTCAGGTATAAATACTGGCAACAACTGGAAGCCATTGCAGCCTAGTCAGGAAAAACTCACCATAGTTTTCAAGTCCTCCGGCCTTAGGGAAGGAAGCTGGAGGTCCAAGTGACAAAGGCTTTGAAAACGATCTAGGAATTCACTAACAAGAATAGCAGGCTCATCCAGGGGCAACATCCCAAATCGGTCTGTGGAAAAAGTAAACTGGAAGATTGTATTGGTATAAACTGTAAAAAATAAAACACACAGCTGGGCACGGTGGCTCATGCCTGTAATCCCAGCACTTTGGGAGGCTGAGGCAGGTGGATCACCTGAGGTCAGGAGTTCAAGACCACCCTGGCCAAGATGGTGAAACCCCCATCTCTACTAAAAATACAAAAAATTAGCCAGGCATGGTAGTGCACGCCTGTAATCCCAGCTACTTGGGAGGCTGAGATAGGAGAATCACTTGAACCCAGGAGGCGGAGGTTGCAATGAGGCTGAGATCGCGCCACTGCACTCTAGCCTGGGCAACAGAGCAAGACTCTGTCTCAAAAAAAAAATAATAAAATAAAATAAAATAAATAAACATGTATTAAATGACTGAGGAAATGTAGTAAAATTGATGAGCTATTTGATGGTGTCAGAAAATTACTGATTTTCATTTTGATGGGGCTGTAATGATACTACTGAGACTACGTTTAAAAAGTAGAATCCGTATCTTTTATATCTTGAAATATTTACAGATAAAATGGCATAATATGTGGGACTGAACTTCAAAACAACGCAGAGGGGCAGGGTGTTAGGTGTTAGGAATACAGAAGAAACAAGATCGGCCATGAGTTGATCATTGTTGAAGTTGAGTGATGGGGTTTTATTATTTATACTATTCCGTGTGCTTCTGTGTATGTTTGAAATTGTTACCTTAAGAAGGAGAAAACAAAACAGAGTTAGTAAAGATGGAGACTTAAATAGGCGAAAGGGCTTAAAGAACCATCATTTTATAACAGCTACCAAGTTATAATTTACTGTGAGCTAAGAATGAAAAAAGTGGCATGTTCCTAAAGTGTACACAAGAGATACAAAAAGGCTCACATTATAAGGTGAAGCATTAACTGGGTACCAGAGTAAATAAAGTATACAATTAAGAATTCTACTGGTAATACCTAAGTTGGAAAAGAATCTGTCTGAAATCTAAGCAGTGTGGAAACTGATTATATACTATAGTATAATTATCTCTGGCATTACCCAATTCATCTACTGCATATTTGGTATACTGGTACAAAGGCAAATGATGAGTGCAGAAAGGGCTTGCTAAGCTACTTCTTAAAGAGGTCAGTCTAGTAGGCCTACAATGATAAGTAGAAACTACACTGAATCAGCTTTCCCCCACCCGCCCCCAGACAGAGTTTTTGCTGTCGCCCAGGCTGGAATGCAATGGTGCAATCTTGGCTCACTGCAACTTCTGCCTCCCAGGTTCAAGCAATTCTCCTGCCTCAGTCTCCCGAGTAGCATGGGTTACAGGCGCCTGCCACCATGCGTGGCTAATTTTTATATTTTTAATAGAGACGGGGTTTCACCATGTTGGCCAGGCTGATCTTGAACTCTTGGCCTCAGGTGATCCACCCGCCTCGGCCTCCCAAAGTGCTGAGATTACAGGCATAATTCACCACACCCAGCCCTGAATCAGCTTTAATAAAGAATGAAAACACATACTGGAAGAGATTTCGTAGGAAAAGTGAAGAAAGAACATGTCATCCTAACCTGATCATCTAAAAAGTAGGAAGGCACTCAACTCACTGGTCTTTTCTCAGCCTCAAATTAACATTTAGTTGCTCAACAGCACTATAAGACAGCCCCATAGGCTACAAAGATGAGACACACATTCAACATCCTTAAGTTACTCATAATCTAATATGGAAGCCAGACAAGCAATGTGATTACAGTGTGATAACTGTTATCACAACAGTAAAGAGAGACCATTATAAGAGTGTACAATAGGGATACAGCAGATACTGTTAGCTGTTCACCCAGCTATCTCCTGCTCCTGCCTTGCTAGCAGAAGCAAGGTTTTGTTTGGTGTCTTGTCTTTCCCATAGGGTAAATTCCTGACTTGTCTCTACCAATCTCAACAGCAGCGTTTTCCTTAACAGTGACCCATTTAGGAAGGGGTATTTGATCCAGTCGTGGTCAATAGACAGGAAAGGTAGCGGGCTGGAGGGATTCTGTGACTATGTGAAGGCTAGATGGTGTTTGCACATGACTCTTCAAACTGCTGCCTTGAGAGGAACTAGTTTTAGAACAAGATGACATGCTTCTTTCAAGGACTGGGTCCTTAGTGCTATGTCTGAGCCAATAAATTTACCAACCCTGCAGGAATCCTAAAAAATTATTTTATTTTTTGAGACAGTCTTGCTCCATTGCCCAGGCTGTAGTGCAGGGGCATGATCTTGGCTCACTGCAACCTCCACCTCCTGGGTTCAAATGATTCTTGTGCCTCACCCTCCCGAGTAGCTGGGACTACAGGCATGTGCCACCATGCCCGGCTAATTTTTTGTGTGTGTATTTTTAGTAGAGATGGCGTTTTACTAGAGTAGGCTAGTCTCGAACTCCTGGCTTCATGTGATCTGCCTGCCTCCGTCTCCCAAAGTGCTGGGATTACAGATGTGAGCCACCACACCCGGCAATTCTTACTTTTTTAAAAATAAGAATTCTTAATTTTTGTCTTAGCGAGGAGCAAACATAAAGCTATCTCGGCTTTTATTTTTTATTTTATTTATTTTTTTGAGACGGAGTTTCACTCTTGTGGCTCAGGCTGGAGTGTAATGGCGCGATCTCGGCTCACTGCAACCTCCGCCTCCCGGGTTCAAGCAACTCTTCTGCCTCAGCCTCCCAAGGAGCTGGGACTACAGGTGCCTGCCACCACGCCCAGTTAATTTTTTGTATTTTTATTAGAGATGGGGCTTCACCACGTTGGCCAAGATTGTCTCCATCTCTTGACCTCATGATCCGCCCACCTCAGCCTCCCAATGTGCTGGGATTACAGGTGTGAGCCACTGCACCCGGCCCATTTTGTGATGTTTTAACTGTCATTTCCATCTTCCCTTCCCCAGCTCAGGTCTGTGGTAGCCTTGAAAACGCACATCCTGGCCGGGCGCAGTGACTCACGCCTGTAATCCCAGCATTTTCGGAGGACAAGGCGGATGGATCACCTGAGGTTGGGAGTTCGAGACCAGTAAGACCAACATGGAGAAACCCTGTCTCTACTAAAAATACAAAATTAACGGAGCATGGTGGCACATGCCTGTAATCCCAGCTACTGGGGAGGCTGAGGCAGAATCGTTTGAACCTGAGAGGCAGAGGTTTGGTGAGCCGAGACTGCGCCATTGCACTCCAGCCTGGGCAACAAGAGCGAAACTCCATCTCAAAAAAAAAAAGAGAGAAAAAGAAAACCAACATCCTCACAATCATGGTGAAAACCAGTAGCTTAGCAGTCACCGGAGAGCACAGAAAAGAGGTGGAGCTCCTCCAAAGCCCCCTTCCAGAGAACCATCATTATTTGATCTGTGTGGCAGTTGCCTGGAACATCATACTGTCCCAGTGAGAACACCCTTTTCCCCAGACAGGTTTTCAAAAATGATCATTGGCAACCGTTTAACATCACAGGTGCTTTGAGGCAGCAGTATGAGTTGGAGCAAATAATAAGCTGACCAAAAACCTTAAAAGCTGGGAAATGAAATGTCCATAGGCAGGCTTGAAAGGCTCTGACATATTCCTTGGAATCTAGAAGCGCATGTGCAAGTACAGAGCTATACACATGCCCAGGAAAGACCTGAAAAAGGCCCTAGGCTCTCACCTCTGGCTGATGCTGAGGTCCTGCTTGTGTGAAGGCTAACAGAGTTGCAGACTGCCTGCTTGACTACTGAAGGTGTGCTCCCCCCACCACACAGAGCTCCTTGGCAAGGCTGGGGGACTTATTTGTTCTAGGCATTTAAAGAAATCTCTGTCCAATCGTCCTGTGAAAGTTGATTTTGAGGCCGGGCACAGTGGTTCACGCCTGTAATCCCAATGCTTTGGGAGGCTGAGGTGGGCAGATCACGAGGTCAGCAGTTCAAGACCAGGCTGGCCAACATGGTGAAACCCTGTCTCTACTCAAAATACAAAAATTTACCAGGCATGGTGGCAGGCGCCTGTAATCCTGGCTACTCAGGAGGCTGAGGCAGGAGAAGTGCTTGAACCTGGGAGGCGGAGGTTGCAGTGAGCCGAGACCACGCCATTGCACTCCAGCCTGGGCAACAGAGCAAAATTCTGTCTAAAAAAAAAGAAAGTTGATTTTGATAATTTTGCAAGTGTTCTTTTTGCTCTCATAGAGGATTTTCACATGCCCTTCCTCCACCATCCCCACTGGAGATATCCTACGTGGATTGAGACAAATACATATTTGAGGCCAGGCATAATTGTTCATGACTGTAATCCTAACATTTTGGGAGGCTGAGGTAGAAGGATCACTTGAGGCCAGGAGTTTGAGATCAGCCTGGGCAATATAGTGAGACAAAAAAAATACCAAAAAAAAAAATTAGCTGGATGTGGTGGCATATGCCTGTAGTCACAGTTATTCAGGAGGTTGAGGCAGGAGGATTGCTTAAGCCCAGGAATTAAGGCTGCAGTGAGCTATGATCATGCCACTGCACTGTAGCCTGGGAGAGAGAGAGAGGAGAGAGAAACGTGTACTTGATAGAAGAAACAGAAGGAAGGAAGGAAGGAAGGAAGGGAGGGAGGGAGGGAGGCAGGGAGGGAGGCAGGGAGGGAGGGGAAGGGGGAAGGGGAAAAGGGGGGAAGGGAGAAAGGGACGCAAGGGAGGGAAGGGAGGGAGGGAATGGAAGGAAGGGAAGGAAAAGAAAGAAGGGAAGGAAGGGAAGGAAGGGAAAGAAGGGAAGGAAGGGAAGGAAGGGAAGGAGGAAGGAGGGAGGGAGGGAGAGAGGGAGGGATGGACTACCTGATAGAAGAAATAATACTTACAAATATGTCAGTGCTCTCCTGCTTACTAAAATCAATTTTAAAAATTAATTATTATTAGCCAGGTGGCACTTGTAAGCCCCGCTACTCTGGAGACTTAGGCAGAAGTATCACTTGAGCCCAAGAGTTCAAGGTCAGTCTGGGCAACAGAGTGAGACCCCATCTTTTTCCTTTGCTGCAATGCAGTGGTGCA